AGGACACGGTAAGCTCCTTCAGATGAAACGAAGCTATTCACAACCGTGCACTCACGTATGACCTGAGGACTGCGCACCGAGCATTTTCAGCCTTGCCCTCTGCAGTACGCCACTGGCACTGGTAGCAGCCCCCCGTCTGGCTGCACACCCCCTGCTCCTGCCGCCCGAGAAGGGACCGGGTTACAACACAAGACTATCTTCTCATGGTAGCAAAACGTGCCCTTTCCTATTCTTTTGCTTCTCTTTGCGCAGAAAGTCTTCAGACGAATATTACTGCATTCCAAGGCTATTTCAAATGCATATAAATCATTGCTTTTCACTAGTAGTTTATTCATTAAAAAAAAAAGAAAAATTCCAGCAATTCCTATTAAAAAGCCCATCACAGCCAAAACCTGCCACTAGCTCAGGCACAAGATTTACCTGCATCTCTACAGATGGGCTTGATTGTTGCTCTCAGCAGTCTTAAGATCTGCATTTTAGATCAGGCATAATGCTTGAATATTAAACGTGACACATTTGCATATCTGCAATAACTGTAAGGGCAGTAGACAATTACTAGTGGGGATAACAGGGAAAATTTCTACTCACAGAATTACAAAAAACCCTACCCAAACTAACAAATTAACCCCACCAAACAGCAAACTTCATGCAGATATACCAAAGTCTTAAAAACACACACAAGGACAAACAATCACACGTTGTGTTTAAGTATCTCCCTGGCGTTTTCTGTATTACCAACAGGGTAGCGCAGTTGAGAAAGCAAGCTGGCGATGCGCGCAGCAGGAAAACGGCCGGCGCTTTTTGCTCGCTCCTTAATGAGCAGTGATGGGAAGGGGAAACAAAATCCTGATAAAGGATTTAAGGGCTGAGGCAGCCAGCTATGGTACACTTCAATTTCAAAACTTAAATTGAATCATTCTCCATTCTCAATATATACATTTCTCATGATAGTTAATCAGCCTTGGGAACAGTTCGATTTGGGTTTTGCCCCTATTAATGCCCAGGATCATAAGAAAATCGTATTTAACTTCAGTGTTAAGCACTCACGATTACAGTACAGGTGTTTTGTAAACTCTCAATGACATAAGCATGCTGGAAACTCAGCTTTTCAACCCAACAGATACTCCCTTTCCTTCCTCCTCTGCCAGCTATTTAACAAGTAAACTTAGATTAAATCTTTAGGTGTGTAAATGCCAGAAGATATATAGAGCAGAGTCAAGAAAGCATACGGTTCCATAAAGGCAGGGAACAGCCCGTTTTGGGGGTCACCAACATTAAACCAGCTCTAATGCAGACTACTGAGAGAGACAAAAACCACCACTTTTTTCCTCTCATACGTTATCACCATCATCCAAGGAGATTTTTATTCTTCCTAAAGGAAGTCCAAGCAGATGATATTTCAGGAACGTAGGAGTGGAAGCGATACACTGCTAAGCCCACTGAGAAGACATGGCTCTATTTCAACATCCTTACTGCCAAGATCAAGTACGCAACTGGAAATGTTGTCAAAACGCCTTGAAACCTCTGGTAGCAAAAGGCAAGCGAGTCCTTACCGTGAGTACATGCAAAGGTGTCGTCTGTTTAACATGGGCAACAACATGAAAAAAGAAAACTCACAAGGTGCTGCTGCACTGACCCCATGCAGCAACTAGGACACCGTTAACAAGGCTTGTGGGACCCTGCATTGGGAGAAGCAAAGCCCCTGCAGTGATGCCTTTAGACCCACTACAGCATTAACTTTCAGCTCTTCAAGGCCACGGAAATAACGGAAGCTCTTCATACCCTGCAGTAAACCACGAATTAAAAAAATCCTCAGTGCTCGTTGTTTCCTTGCAGAGCAGATTCAGCTTGGCACCTCTCCAGCGCTGGTGCTGACACAGCCAACCATCTCCAGCCCCTTGCATACAAACAGTGCAAAGTGTAAGCAGAGGATTAACAGACACAAAAATCCCCTATGCTTCCCACGAGGGGCAAGCTGCATTTGGTGATTACGGTAAGCAACTTGCACGAATGACTGGGACTGCATACTAAACAAGACGTAATAGAACCAACATCAGCATATGAGTACCCAATTCTTAACCTTAAAGAACTTTCATGGAGCCCTTGGTTATTTTTTTTGCTTTAGGAATGATTGAAATTCAGTTTGCCAAGCCATTTAAGAAGTATTACTAATGCAAGGTATATGCTGCAAGAACTCAGGGACTCAGATTCAGGGACTAATTAAAATACCACGTTATTTATAGCTCACCGGCTGCCATACATTATCTGATGAAAATCTTGTTTTAAAAAAATAAATTAAAAAGCAGATGTACCCTTGTCTTTAAGAAACACCTTTGGAGTACGTAGCTCTATTTTATTAGTTCCATTTTCTTTTGCTCCAGCTAGGTACTCTGCTCTTTCTCACTTAGGAGCGGGCTTCACCTGATGAGCAAAAGGCTCGCCTATTCCCTGCCTGACGCCAAGAAGGAACCCTGCGTGGAGAGTTCAGGCACCTCTCACCGCCGGGATGCAGACCCAGCGCACGTTCCTAACGGCAGGAGAAAACCCCACACAGCGCAGAGGATTTCAACTCGCAGGCTGCGTGCGAAGGGGAAGCGGCACGACGGGGGACATCAGCAATTCCTTACTGCTGACTGTGCGTCTTTACCGACGAGGAACGCTGTGAAAGTTTGTGTTACGGCTCACCGTGGTGCATGCTGCGTAGCTTCTTTGACTATCCAGATACTCCTTTTTAATTAGTCCTTAAGGCAACATTTACAGCATTTAGTTTCAGTACCTCAGCAAAGAAACAAGGCAATAGGCTGTTATGTCTAGAGAAGCGTGCTGCGTATGTTAATTTATGACATCACCCTCCTCATCATTTCACGTCCTGGGGATGAGAAGTGATGAGGAGGGAGATATCATAAATTGTGGTAGGTAATACGTGACAGGTCCCAGAAGGAACACATTAAAACTTCACTAGGAGGAAAGCTTCCGTGAAGCAAAGCCAGTGTACTGAAACTCAGTGCAACGCTTCAAAACTCACTCTCCGTGGAAAATTAATGTTGTTAGAGACTACCTTACTGCAAGCTGCACATTTCCTCTAAAGACATGGAAGAAATATAAGACAATAACTTTATATCTGTGAAAAGCAGGGGAGAAGTCTTGTCTTGGTCAACTACAGTCACGGGTTGGACAAGCCTTTGGCATGTGAGCCTTGCTCAGCCATGACTACTTGTGAATTCACGATGGGTGGACACGCTGCGTACACGGAATCCTTCCAGCACTTCACGATGCTAACGACCGCAGTGCCTGGTAATCTACAGTCCAACAAATACGTTTAAATTCAGTGCAGCAACACTGCACCAAAATACTGCTGAGTGGAGAGAAACTGAACTACCTGAATGCTGCAGTAAGATTTAGGGTCTCCTGAATTTAATAACCAAAGGAGCTGCGGCACCAGCATCAACGACCCAGCCTTTTTCACAATAACCTTGCCGAAGCGCTTTATGCCCAACCTAGGGAAAAAATGCCATAGTTATGGGAGTCTGAAGTGTACTTCTATTGTAAAAAAGTGCATCTGCTTAGAAATTACTTTGGTTTTCTAATTTCTCCTCTTGTTCACCCTTCATCTTAGGCGTTGCCCAGAACGTCCAATTAATATCACAAGAAACTGTCTCATGAGGGACCAGTGACCTCTTTGTACAAAAAAGACCCTGAAGAACAGAGGAATTAAACAGTTCAGAGACAAAGGAAAATAGAGGAGCTCACCACTGGACTGGCCCGAGCAGAGCTGGCTCTTGAGGATGCCCGAGATCCTGAACCAAGGTAGCAGCTGTACTCGGAAGGCTGCCGCAGGTAAACCAAGAACAGCAAGCAGAGAAAAAGAGAAAAGCATTAGAATTGGGAAGGGAGGAGAGAGAGTATTTAGCACGTGACACCCAAAGTTAGTTAGGAAAATGGTTACATGCAGCTGAACCAAGGAATAGCAGTGAAAGTCAGGGAACAGACACCTCAACTGTTAATTTAAAAATTAAGGCAAGCAGTAGTTCCAGTTGACGGGCAGAGTAGGGTTTTGATTCAATTAGAATGACAGGATACTAATGATTTATTTATGTCTCTTAAGCTACCAGTCACAAATAAACAGCTCAGTCTCTACATAAGTATCTCCATCCTCCTACTCTTCAAGAGCGCTGAGGTTCTCCAGTGAGCCTTCTCCCCATGTTTCAAACCTTGTACACATAGAAAATGAATCCGTGCCCCACAGGCCAGAGCAAAAAACATCCATCTACACAGTGATTGAAGTAAAAACTGAGACCATCTCAGAGACTGAGTCTCTTTCCTGCTCTTCCAGCATCTGCAGTCCTCATCTCCTGCCAAGGAAAGTATTTCGGTCCTTCCTGAAAGCCAACGTCTCAGCAGTGATGCTGAACGGACAGGGCTGACTCGCTGCTGACAAGGACAATGAATGTGTCCACACTTACTTCCAGAGGTTAGAATGCAGTGGAAATAGAGAAGGGAAATGAAAGTTTAAAACATCACGAAAACGGAACTAAAACTTATTTTGGAAATGCATTTTAGAATTATTCCCTCTATTTTCACACATTTCAGAGTAGCAGCTTCACACTGTCTTGTATTTAGGATAAGCCTATATAAAAGGGAGTTTTTGATGCATTCAGAACAGAGAGGAATTCAAGTTTTTGAGGTTTACCAGGCATGGTATTCTTCCTTCTGCTCCTATCCCAAGGCAATTATGAACGTAGCCTCCGGAAGAGGCATGGCAGCGTGTCAAACATCCCACGCAAAAGCTCGTACTGACACCGGCAGCGGCACTTCAGGGACAGGAAGAAGCATGAGGAACTGCTCTTCTCAGCAGCTCAGACTATGCTGCCCGTGACCCTTATGACTTTATTTTGTAGGTGCTTAAGACTGTTTCTCAGATGCAAACCATTGAAATCTACAGAATTATCCTACTTTGCAGATGCATGTACTGTGTCTTTTTTTAAGGTTTCTTCTATTACATTACCTGGCCACTACAGGGATCCCCTGGACTCCTCAACCTACAGAGACAGCCAGGTCTTCACCAAGCTACGGGAAGACTGTTTCAGCACCATTAGTCATGCTAGTAAAGTGGTATTCTTCATTTTAAATTAAAAGTAAGCTTACAGTCCTAATAAATGATAAGAGGGTAAGCTGGAAATAACCCCAGCTACAGTACAGCCATAAGCTTAATTACCGGCCACAAAGCACTGAGGTACACAGCCCTTGGCAAGCCCCTCAAGCAGGGCAGAACGTGACCAAGCCACGTCCTCAGGTGTGTCACGTGAAGCGACAATGGCTTCGTGCAACTGGATTACTGAGCTTCGTTGCGGAGACGAGAACAGGCAACGTTTAGAAGTGTGCTGCACACAGTTTACAGCTATTTTCAATCACAGCCACTTCAATTCCTGAAGTAAAACCAAAAAGCACTGAAGTATTTAGATTTTGTTTTCTTATTAAGTAGAAGCACAGAAGCCTTGCGCCATCACTGGGGGTTTATGTTTAACGTAACAAGGATGTAGAATAAACTTGAAACACATGACAGGGAAAAAAAAGTTTTAACTACTGATGACTCTCATATCCATGTTTCGCAGGACCTGTTTATTCCATAGTTGCTCCCTGTCTTTGGCAAGGCAGAATATGGAAGCAAATGCCACTTGTTCAGCTGGCTGGGACCAAGCAAGGCCAGTTCCAGCCTCCTCCTGGCATTTACCTGTCCTCTGATTATCCAAAAATGTTCTTTTGGGAGAGCTACCCAAATGGAACACCCCATACAAGCTTAAACTGCTATGAGGTTCAGAGATGTTAAAATAGCCACAGATAACCTGGTCATTGCGATGATAACCAAGGCCGTTCCCTTTGAGGCAAAAACCTCAAACTGGGAAGGCTGCGTTATACACAAGCTCCCAAACACCTGTGGCACAGGGGGGAATGGGGATGGAAGAAGGGGAAGGAGCACCAGCTTTTTATTCAGATTTCCCTGCTCAAGCCATTAAGGGTGGCTGAAAGATCTGTTTGGGCTCAGAGCCCACTGTAAGTTGTTTCACCCAAGAGTACAAGTGTACCATTTGGAGCTTTGAGAGATTTATCTCAAACAAAAGACAACCCATACACACAAAGGGCTACGGCCAGCTCAGCCTCAGCAGCAAATTCACTGAATTGCAGGCTGCCACAACAGCCCAAACGGTCACAGATGAATTTTCCAAGGCAGACAAATGAAAACAAGGCAGAACTGTGAAACAAAAGGTAATTTGAAGCTTATCATCAGTGGTGGGGAGATGGCCAACCCAACTAGTGAATCAGTGTGACTGCAAAGGATGGAGTAGCCCTTTAAAGATTAACAAGAGTTAGTAAACATGCTTGAAAGTTTGTTTCCATCTCCAAGCTAATAAAATTTAACCTTAAGAGTTACAATTAACATCAATACTTTGTCTTGAGGGTTTTTTCTGTTAGTCTTAGGTGGTGTTTTTTGTCTGTTGGGACTTGTTTGTTTGTTTGGCTGGTTGTTTTATGATCAGTGAAAGAGATCTGAGCCAGAATAAGCAGTGGCCCACTGAGCAGAATTTACAAACCAGAAAAGATTGGCTTTTGGGTTTTTTTTATTTCCCCAGGCAGATACAACATCAGCAGATGTGTTGCTTGACCCAAACATTGATCATGACACAGAGGCCCCATCTGAGACGAGGTGAAGGCATTTTCCTCCCTCTGATCTGTAGAGGGGTCTGCAGCCTCTCAATTTTTCAAAAGGAAATTACTTATATTGTCATTCCTCATGTTGTCTCTCCCTATAAACGACAGAGCTGTCCGCTCAGAGAGCATGTGTTTTGAAAACAATGTCACAAGATGTTCGAGACATCACTGCAGGATATAAATCCAAGAAGCAAAACCAAGCAAGCCATACAGTCACAAAAATCCTGTATTTCATGACAGCAGGTAAGTGCTAATGGGGAAGTGATGTTTTTTTTAAAAATTACTGCTATTATAAAAAAAATCTCTCAAACTATACTATTCTCAGTTTTCAAAAGAATTGAGTCTTAGTGAGGGAAGGGACTTTATGTACCATCTTCCCAGGGTGTTGAATCTGCAAACCAAGTGCCGGGCAGAGCTGAATTCCCCTTGCTGCAGGGGAGGCAAGGGCCTGCCAGAGCTGGTAAATCCCCACTTACGATCTCATGGAAGCTCAAGGCAACGATGTTCATACTTTTGCCTTGAGCAGCAGGCTATGAGTCTCACACAGCCCATCTTAAATGTTCCTCAGCCCAGAAAAGGCCATGTAGTGGTACACACAGGTTACTGGAGGGCAGAGACAAGACAACGGGGAAATGCAGAAAACATCTTACAGCACGAGAACTAGAGGCACTATACCGACGACTCCCACTGTAAACACTCTCGTCACACACAGACGCCTACAATTAAAAGACAGAGTCAGAACAGGATTGGCAGACCCAGTTTCTTGGTTTCAGCCTGGAGCATCGCAAACTCACAAGGTGCAGCGCGAAGGACGTAGGGGAATGTGCAAGGACAGGGGCATCTCCTGTACGCAACCACAGGCAACATGCACGTGAAGATCTAACACAACCTGACATCCGTGAGCTGGGAAACGCCATAAGGCACGTGCAAGATGTGACACACACATCCCTCCCTCAGTCCATCAGAGTCATGCATTTCTCACTGCACTCCCAACCATCAGTTCAACAGTTTGCCTACCAACAAAACGGCTCCATCAATTCTTAAGTCATTCAAAATGGTTTAATTTTCATTTCTGGTGCTGGCAAAATATGGGGGAGAGCTCACACCTGAGGAGCTTCACTTACTAGCCAGTTTACTAGATTAATAAAGAAGGAGGAGGATGTGTATCCTAAGCCTGGCTCCAGTTTAGCATATAAACGTATGGCTCAGGAACACAGAGGGAGTAAGAAACTCTACCTTTAAATGTTGAGAATAAAATCTGAGAGAACCCAATTTCTAAAATTTAAGAAGAGTGGCATTTAGCTACCAGAAAGAATTGATGTTGCCTCTCTCTGGCCCGCTCCTGCACGCTGTAGCCAATATGCCAAAACAAAGACAACCGTCTCCATCCGGAGAGAAACCCGTGGCAGCATCACAACCCCACGAGCAGTGGTTGCACACGTCCGACGGGAGTAAGAGGAAGGGATCAGCAAACCAAGGTCTGTACAAACGGCATTGCACACGTGCATTCAGATGGATCGGACACCAGAGTGTGAAATAATGGACCCAAGAGGAACTACAGAGGGAAGAACAACGTATGCATGGCTGAAGGCGAGTGGCTTCGGTGTTTGTGTTTAGAGCATTAGTACAACCAACCCTGTAACTTCTGGTGGGCAGGGCATCGCTGTACAGCAAGGAGGGCTGAGGAAGACAAGCACAAAACTTTTTTTGCATAGAAAATTAAACCAAAAAGGCACCTACAGCAGAACTAATCAATCTGATAAGAGATTAGGGTTAACTGCAGCAGAAGGAAACCCAGCATAGGGAATATTAGTCATCTGCACCAGAGAAGCATTAGATCTCAACTCCCAAAGACTAAGAATACCAAGCAGACACGTGTGTTTCCTGCAGGAAGGGAGGGCACGACAGTACGCAAAAGCAAAACAGTATAATTTAATTTTAGGTTGTTAAGTTGTTATTGTCACACACATTTGTGTATAGCAGCCAGAAAGGGTGTTTCTCCTCACTTCAACAGAAGCCAGAAAAAGCACTGCACAGAAGTGTTTTAAGATATAGAGTTTAAGTGTTTCACACAGCTATTGGATCATCTCTGTGTATTTCATTATTAAATGAATGTGCAGAAAAACCCCAAATAAATTCAGGACAAAATTAAGAGTACTTAAATCAGCGCACCACAAAACAAATGACTTTGCTGTTAGTACCCATCGTTCACAAGATGCAGCAATCAAGTTCAGAGAGCACATACTCTATCTGGCATAACTGAGCGCAAAGAGACACTCCAGCAGTGGTCCCCAGCTCATGGCTCATGAGTGCGGTGCCCCCATCACCAGCCACCCCAAAGCACCAGCCACCCCAGGCTGCGGACCACTGCTCAAGCACAGCTTTGCTAGGGCCGGGCTGGCTGAGCTCTGCCCACACGCAGAGAACAATCCAACCTCCCGGGAGATTTCTGAAGCTTCAGCGATTTTCTTCTAGCAGACTGTGAATTATTTGCTTGTAATTTCATTTTGCGCAGAGTGGATTGTCCTACGCTTGATAGACTGACACGGTCAGCAGAGAAGTTGCCTCAAATAGAATAGAGAACTTTAGATAATTAAGATTTCCCTTATTTTTCCAGACCAATTGAGGCCAAAAGCAAAACAAAATAACTGTAGGAAAGGGAGGAGCAGCAAAGGAAAAGTCATTGTGCTCGTTTTAAAGCAGCTTTCCATTACTCACTCCAATCTTAAAAGGTCTGTTTGGGTTTGATTTTTTAAGGTTTACTAAAAAGAGCTACAGAGGCTCTTAAGAATGATTTTGGACCAATTCTCAAGTACAAGAGGTTGTATTATCCACATGAAGTCAGAACAAGTCCAGGCCAGGTAAAGCCAGAGGGCAACAGACCCAGTTTCCATTTTGGGAAGAAGGTTGAGATGTGGAAGCATAGCTGCTGTTGAGAAGACCCAGATCAGAGTAGTACGAAGCCTGCATTAATAACAGAGAAAAAACAACAACCCTTGATAACTCAGCTTCGTAACATGAAGGACTTTCTAAACTCCTGTAATTGGGAAGCAAAAAGTGAATTAGGTGATTACAAATAGCAAGGAGTCAAAGTGGTCACAGATGCAGAAAGGAGAGAGCTGCATTAAGGAAACTCCTTTAAAGACATGAAGATGTGTGAAAATTGTGTGCCCTTCTGTAAGGTAGAGATTCTTTTTAAACGAAAGGCCTTTCCTCTACCCCTACAGCACCTTATGCACAAAATACCCGTTATTTTCCACTGAAAAGGCTTCAAACCCTCCCATTCTCTCCTCCCTTCTTGTTGCTATGACCCAACATGACTGTATGCTGCAAGGAAATGATTTGTATGGGACTTGGAAGCAGACAGACCGCATTCCCGAAAGCCTGTATGCAGTTCACGTGCCCAAGCTTCATACCAATGCTAGTTAAGTGAAGCTGTATTTATCAACATACTTCCAGCTTCTTGTAAAACAGAACAGACGTCTGTTTTACAAGATGCTGGAAATGTCAGCTTCCAGGCTCAAGCTCAGAATAAATGCCTGCATCAAAGCTTCATACCTAAAAACCCAGGATTTCTTTCTTTGCATGTCCAGTCCCACTCCTGCAGGCAAAAGAGTGGATTGCCACTGCCCATCAAGCACTGGAAAAACGTATCGGTCAGAGGTGTTCAGCTTCCTTCTGAATTCTTGAGGAGTTGGCACCCTACAACCTACACCCACAAGAGATGCCGGAGGAAGCGTTAGGACAGCTCGGCTGTGAGACAGAGGAAAACTGTTGGCTGTACCCATCAGGAAAAGTGAGTAGCCCACTGTCAGATATGGCAGGGCTTTCCTGGAAGTAGAAAAAAATTTAGTGCCTCTCTAAATTAAACTCCTTCTTTAATGCAGCTTCCTACCTAGCACCTAGCCAACCGTGCTCTTTTGGGCCACCTATTTGGTCTCCCCAAGAACATGGAGATCTTAATTCAACTCCAAGTTAAATACCAAAAGTGACTGGACTTAAAAATCACCCCTACCCTCCAAAATACTACCTTATTTATCCAGCGTGATATACAAATTCTCCACGCATCCCCCCAGCACCTGTACTTCATAATGGGGTGCCAGCTCAGCTTTTCTGCTGTCCCGTATTACCCGTGAGGATTTCCGCTGCTTCAACACAAAGCTGGCACGTAGGGCTTGCCAGGGTGCAGGAAGGCTGGCGGCAGGAGGATATTTAGAACGCCGAGCGGAATGCAGTATTTTGGCTCCCCAAAAGCTTTAGCAGCATGCAACCATGTATTGTGAACTATTAGGTTGTTATGAACACCTGGTTTTAACATGGAGGGATAGTTAAATTTGCAAATCAAGGTCTGTTTTCAATGCAGACTGGAAACCCATATAGAAGCATTATGCATCTCACAGAGCCGAGAGAATCGAGAAAAATACCATCATACTGGGAAGCCTTTGTATTTTCCTTATTTTCAGAAAAAAAAAAGCAGCCTAAAAGCCCATCTAAAACATGATAAAATAGTCACTGAACGGCAGCAGGGATGGATGCAGCCCTGAGCCACACAGAGCGCACAGCCACAGGAGGAAGGCGTGCTGAGGAACCAGCACATCCCCTCCCTCGCAAAATGACTTCTGTCTCCTGTGACTAGCCCTGCAACAACACACGTGTTGCAGAGGTATTTTTTAAGCCTCCCAGGCACTGATTAGATTCCTTATTTTCCCATGGGTGTGTGTATGATGGTGGGAATGGTTGTTCTGAAGGAGTTTCCACACCTCTACCTTCTCCACTACACTCCAGAGCTCTCCTTCTACAGCCGTTCTCTACCATCCTGCTTCCCCAGTCACTTCTCATGGGGGTCCAGACGACCAAGATACTCTGCTTTTAGTAGTCAGCAATTGCTCAGGTTTCTTTCAAGCCCTAAATAATCCTTGCAACATCGCCATAAATTACATGGGTGTTAATGCCATTCACAGATGAGGGAGATGTGCAGCAAATTAAAGAGACGTGTTTGTTCTTGACGCTGGACTTCTGTCACTGCAGGCGAACACGTCTGTGGTAACACCCACAGGTACACATTGCAGGTAAATCGTTGCCTGACCTCAAAAATTTAGATCCCTTTCTGCCTCATTCTTCCTGAAGGCCTGGAAAATCAGACTTCCACTGAAACGTGAATAAACCAAACCAAGCTTCAAGAAATGACTTTCATTTCCCACCTCGGGAGTTTGTAATCCACACGTGGACTACCTAAGCGCGTGGCATTATTCATTTTTAAAGAATCAACCCGTCATATTGCAAGTACAGTGTACAAAGGCTGATCTTGATGTGGACATCGCTATGCTGAGGCTTAAAATTGGACACCTATTTTGGAAAAAAGAATTTTATCAGAGTCATCACTTCCTTCCTGACCTGAAGAATTGTGACTCTTGTTTTTTGTGCTCATTTTGGCAATCTTTATGGTTAGGTTTGGAGTTTTGGGAGAGTATTCCCCAAGGTGAATGCTAGCTGGACTGGCATCAACTGTTTTTTGGAGTTTCAGCTATTCCAAGTCACTCCCAAACTCTCATCTCCCTTCTAAGCACTGCTTAATTTGAATTATGTAGCAATGAAAGCAGCAAGGAACTAAGGATGTTGCCGTAATTATGCTCTAACCCTCCATGCTACAAACCCTAATACCAAGATGACTTTAAATTATTTAAATGGAAACCAAACAACTGCTTTTCCCTGGATGACTTTCTTAAAAGATATTTTGCTCTTCCTGCAGTACTCGGAGCTCTGGAGTATGTCATTAAAGAACAAGAACATCATTTGTCAGAAGTACTACATAATAAAGTTCCTTGAATTTGTCAAGCGGCTCAGCAAGAGTGCCAACAACAGGACATACTGTTTTCTTAACAGCTTAAGCACAGTATTTCATTTTCTCTTACCCATGCGTAGAAACCAAATGCACAAAACTATATGGAAGCAACGATTTAAAATGGACAAGAAACACAAGGTCCCATTTCACTGTTTATACAAGTGCCTGCTTAACTCCATGTTCTCTAAGTAACTCATGGAAGTTGAAGTCTCACGTTTAGCATGTATTGCTCAAACACTTAGCTAAACGGAGTCTTGAAAGTAGTTTATTTTTTCCCCTAAACACAGAGCTTTAGTCTGCATACCACTAAATTTCTTTAGAAGTCTTGATAGCACACAGATCAAGAGGCTCTGAGCTTTTGTCTGCCTTTGTTAAAGCAACAGCAAGGAGAATAAACCTCAAACCGTTTCCTCCCTGCCCCCCAGACTGGGCTCTGCTTGAGACAATACCTCCAAATAATTTGCACAAACCCCAGTATTTAATAAAGCAGGACAACGAATTCCTATAATAGACAAAAACACTTGTGCTGGAACAGAAGGGAACATTGTGACCCACATACACACAATGGAGTTAATAATTAAGCTTTTTTTGACACAAATATTTCTAGAAATAAAAGTACATCAGTGCTAAGTAGCTAAGTAGTAACGCCTGCACTGGCTGTTCACCTCTGTGGGAGTCTCCAGACACCCTAGGATACAGTTTATAAAGGAAAAAACAAGCTTTTAGTTAAGCAAACTCCAAATAAACAACTTTTGGGGAAAATTCACAATCCAAACTCCGTTTTACACATGCAAATCTCAAGAGATGGACTAAATTCTAAGTGAAGCTTGGGAGTTTCAGTGCAGACAGGAACACTTTGCACACCCTGGGAAACAATCCTGTTGTCCAGCACATGGAAATCCTCCATGCCGCGTGCTGCCAATCTATTTCCTATCACCATTTAACTTTTACCCAGTTCTGTTTGCAAGCTAAGTAGTTCTGCCTTCCAAGTTCCACTTGTACCAAATTTGAAGACTTCTCTTCCCACTCATGGCCTAATTCTTTAAGACAGCTTATTGCTGCACCCCCAAAACATGCAAGACAGGAAAAACCTGCTTTACCACAGGAAAGAACCTGCTAATTAGCGTTAATCCCATTAAACAGAGCAATAGATTTTATAGCAATATAAATCAGCTACTAACCCTGCTAGATTTTCTACTCTGGGATGATCCATACCTGTCTTCCTCATAACCATTGGTCTGTTAGGGAAGGAAAGGAAAAGGAAAAAAAAAAAAAAGGAGAGAAAACAATTGATGCAAACTCAAAGGGAATCTTTAGCAAAGTCGTCACTTAGGAAAAGCAGAGACAGAACTTTTCAAAGCTACACCAGGGACAGGAGAAGTGCAGGATTAGGTCATAACTTCACACCTGAGGACTTCAACACCTCTGTCAGTACCTGTATACCAGCCAAAAATGTCAAGGATACCCCTGCTTGTCTGGTTTGACCCCTTTGTTTTTTTCTTTAGAAACACTTCTGCTTCCCCTATTCTTACTGCATTTCAGCACCTGTCCCTTCAAATGCTCCGAGACAAAAAAGAGACAGGAGGGATGAAAGATCACAATAAACCAAATTTATCACTGTAGTTGCTTATACCTCTGGCAGCTATGTAATTAAAAAGCAGCAAATTGTAGCAAAAGAATTAATTCTAAGTTTATATTTGAGAAATTCAGTTTAGCAAACATGTGATGCTATATGAAATATATTTTTTTTAAGCTTTCCACAATTACATCAAAATCAAACCCAGACAGTGACCATCTGCCACATCCCAGTGTTTTGTGTGGCAGACCAAAGGCTACCAAGAGGTTTCAGTCGTTTCAGCTGCCCTCCGTCATGCTCAATAGCCTGCCTTGTCATTAAGATGATTTCTCTCAAAAGAGAAACAGACGGGCTCAAAACGAGCTTTTCACAAGCAGGGCGAGATGCCTCAACTTCCTACGGCAGCAGGGTCCGAACTTAAATAAAACCAGGACTACAATACAGGTTTTAGTCTGGAAACATGATGTTGAAGAAAAGAGAACAGACCCAAAAGTCACCACAGTCGATACCATTAAAAGCTCAGATTTCTCAAGCAATTCACTATTCTGGCATCACTTCACAAGACCCAGTTTAAAATTGAAAATAAGGAAGCACTCTGTGTATTCCGGGTGGGTTTTTCAGTGGAAATTTAATTAGAATCTCTCTTCAAATTAAATTTTGAAGTTCAAGCTTTAATGCATTCCTGAAATGAAAATCAACTAAACCCAATCTGAATCAATTTCCAAGCAAAATATTTATCATATACTATAGAGTGGCTTCCCATGAAAAATTAAACAAATTAACTTAGAAACCAGTTTAGACCCAAGCTGGTAAAGCAACTTCTGGGAAAAGCTCCCTTCTGAAATGCAACAGTATCACCACAAACGGAGGGCCAACATCCAATTTCTTTTTCCAAGAACCACCCATTTGAAATACTGCTATAAGCCTTCTCACACAGCTTGGCTTCGCTCCAGTTTTTACTATGATTTTTTTTTTTCCAGGCTCCTTGAATTTCCCTAACACTTCCCTGAAGAATGGTTAAAATGAACCTCCAGCATCAAAAGCTAATACTCCAGCTGCAGCCTCGACAGCACCATGCAGACCAACTACCTCCACTGCCCCTTCCATTACTACACTGAGGAATTAAGTTTGACTTTTTTCAGCAACGTAATACTGACTAAACGTTACCTCAGATCATTATCTGAGTCATTCCTATGCAAATTCCTTACTTTGTAATAGTGTATTTCATTTTTCCCAAATGCGGTATTCCTCATTTATATTTTAATATTACTCCATTTTGACAACTTGTCTCCTATTCAGCGTTTTTACTCTAACCTTGCATGAAACTGCCCTCGCTCCCTGTACATAGACACCTAGGCAATACAGACTCATATAGACCTGTTTTCCCCTTTAAAAACAGACCAGACGAGATCCTTTCCAGCTGTCTCATCTTCCAGCAGTTATTTTTCAACAAACACTGTATTTCTTTTACAAGAACTAGATCTTGCCCAAGGTTTTACTTAATGTCACACAGAGACGCACCAAGAGCCTTACAGTCAAGTTATAGTCACATCTAACGCTTTTCCTTCATGCCCATAAATAATTACCCTGCTTAGGGAAATTAAGTTGAACTGACATGATTCATTTCCCACATATCCAGGTTAACTGGTTATTCCTTTGTATTTCAGGCACTTCCAACTGTATTTCTTTAATTTGCCCTGCATCTTTCAGAGGTCATACTGAAGCCCCACAGCTCAGGTCATTTCCCTTGTTGCTATGACCCATCCTCTCCAGAAACCTCTCCAGCACGTACTTTTGAAGTCAAATTCTCCAGACAACTAAACAAGCAGGGTCAATTTTATCAGACCTCACTGACCTTTGTCCTATGCCTCATGCTAAGTATCTGATCATAACCTATATAAAAATGAGAACAAATCAAACTGCATACTGGGGAGGTGGCTGAAATACTCAGATTTTACTTGTTCTCCCTTCACATGCAAAACTGACCCTATTCTCTTCTGTATTTGCCTCTTGCTTTCAGCAGACGCAGAAAACTCTCTCATTGCCATTTTGTCCATTTATATTTGTAACATTTTTTTTTTTTACCTTACTCCATGGCTACTGCTGCTCCTTCAGGCTTTCTCAACCCCACATCTAACTTCCACTCCTCAAAATTCTCTGCTCATTTCCCACGTCCTAAAGAACCCCAACCCAGCCTGGCAAACTCCTTCTGTGCTGCACAGCCTTCCCTCTGCAGGAGCGGTACATGTTCTCTCCCTGGAACTGCTCCCCGTGACAGTCTCCTAAAAACCTGACCGTGTCAAAGCCCGTTACCCTTTACCTTCCATCCAGGTCTGGCTTTCTGGTGCTGTAAGTAGTGCCCTAGTTGTACAGGTGCTAGTAATGCATCAATCCTACACAGAACTACCTTTGTAATACATATATATTCCTATTACTACTATATAATATATATATTCCAACTTAAAGATGCAGCCTTTATTACATATATATTCTATCAGTATCACCTATTTCTGCGTAATATTAAAACTCAAGTTAGGTTTTGAGTTTTGAGATGCTTTTTATGTATAACACTGATGTAAATGCTGGGATTACACCACCTTTTGCAGATGAAGTGATGCTTAGTATCCTCACAGACCCCGACACTTACACCGTATCCTTGACATTGGGCTGGTGAGTTTACAGCCAACACATACTCTTTATGCCACAGTGGTTTTCTGTGCAAAAACCTCTCTGAGACACTTAGTTGAGATACATACTGCTTTGGAGTAGTTCTTCTTTTTGGTCCTCTCATTCTCTAATCCAGCCTGCAGTGAGATTAAGAAGGCAGGATGAAAAGATCAATGAGTTTATGTGCACCCATCCGTCGGCAGGCATGCGTACCAACATGCAGAAACATCAGCCCGATTTTCCTCCAGGTCTGTGCAACACGGCTCAGTAAGCACACATGAAAAAAAATCAAACCTCAAAGTCAAATGACCGGTTATTAAAGAATATTGTTAAATGTGATGATAGGGCTGTTAAATTTAGTAGGCACAGTTAAAATCATTCATGCTTGCTGGGTTAAGTCAATTAAAAGAGCTACCAGCTGCCTATACTTACTACATCAATACAACCATGCAAAATCCAAACGTGTTGGAACTATTTCTGTATATAGGTCACTCACAAACAGATGCACTGCATTCCTCATTTGAAACAGCACAGAGAACGAAGGAGAGCGAAAACTGCCCTCCGCAGTTTTCTTTCTGTGGAAACTGAGACGCCTCTATTTCAACACAGTGCTCCCAACAGTGCTAGGAAACGCTTTAAACTGAGTTTAGAGTCCCAATCCTCATTCTCCCTTCTGTGCCCTTTCTGTTCTTCCAAGAGTCAGCTTTATCACAGTCTGTTCAATGTAAATACTCGCTCTTATTATCATTACTCTTTAAAAAAGTTTGCTTTTATCCTCCAAAGCAAAGGTTCACAGCTCCATACACAAGCTGTAGCAAGCAGCGTATTTGTCCTGTCACCTTTGCTACATCTATGCAGGGGGAGTTTGTGTAAGTTTTATTCCCTTCCAGATTTATGCTGAAATAAAACCAGAGGTACCTGGTAAAACGATGGATGGACTGTAGAAGAGAAAGTCTGTTGGGGAAAATAAAAGCCATTTGCTCTGTCCTACAGGAACTACTGAACTAGATTGAGATCTCTCTGATCATTCAGTGCTTTTCATCTGAGCTGCGTCAGAGTAGCGGGCAAGGGAAGCAGCATCCTTACATCACAGACCACAAACTGCCTCAGCATCGTGTCAAGTCATCCCTTATCTCAGATCAGCTGTGACAAGTGATGTTAGCTTCGGCTTCATGATTAGTTTTTAACGCACACGCTGCAACTTGCAGACTATTCTCACCACTGGGTAGGTGCTGGCATATTCCAAATGAGACTGCCAAGGCATGAAAGGAAAGGAAAATCAGAAGGCAAGGGAAAACACTCAAGCAAGCTACAGCGATCAAAAGAATCTCCCAAAACAAACAAATAAACAACAGGCAGAGATGTAAATCCCACCTAAAGAACTTGGATAATGCCTTCTCGAGAACAAAGCCTGGAGTCGGGAGCTTTGTCAAGCAAACAAAACAAGGAAAATGCACAAACTCCATCTGCAGTGATTAATAACACAACAATATTCCATGCTGGATGGTCCGGGATTCAAGACAGCCAGCTGAGAAGTGGGAGAACAAGGACACTTGCAGTAGCAAAGAGACTGCAGAGAGCCTCGACTGTCTCAACAAACACAGGACGAGGTTTACTGAGCCTCCCTATGAAAAACTGCGTGATGAAGAATCAAGCTTGCAGAACTTCTGAAACAAGAGGGGCAGGACACTTTGCTGGGCTGTTAAAAGATGCCCCTTCATTGCTGTGAATAAAACAACTGAAAGATGTGTAAAGGTAAATGTCAGTTCAGGCCAGCAAACATTCACTTTCTTCTACAATCCCAGGGGCACTTGGAGCAGAGAAGGAAGCTCTGCCAAAACTCTTCCTAGGGCTCCTGCCATAAATACAGCACCAGTGTGCTTGCATCTTGCCACATCAAGGGGCACACGGTTATAGCCACTGTTAAACAACCATTGCCTTCTAAAGAGCAAGAACTGAAATTTCAGCTGATCTAGAGATTTTTCCTCCTCCCCATCAAAATATGCCACTTTTATAAACATGTCCAAACTTAAGTAAAATAATCAGTTTTCATGTTCAGCTGTGAGGACAAGCTTTTCTCCATTGAATCTTTGGAGCTTTAAGGCATTTTCTAGCTTTGAACAGCACTCATGCAAGTTTGCAATCTTAAATAATGAAGATTTTAACAGCATTTTGTAAGTAGCTGTAAGGATTCCGCTCAAAAGGGAACAATGCAACACTTAATGATTTTAAGTATATGCTGTGCTATCTTACAGTGAATTCTATTAGGATCACTGAGCAGGGTCTGCAGTTGCAGTAGCAGTATTTTATTTTCCATTTCCAGACCCTTTCAGAGGTATATGAGGTATACCACTCATTAAAAAAAGAGTTTGCCAGAAAAAGAGGTAGTTCTAGCCTAGATAATTATTAGGAAGTTTTTTAAGGAGAAAATATAAATTTTATGGCATGAAATCTCCACGGAGGTCAGAAAGCAAGAATTATAAATAAAGATTGTGCTATGAATGGTTATCGGTCTTTCTTGTTCTGTAAAAATAGAACTGATCATCCAGCTTAACCCACATAACTTGTGCCACTGATAAATTAGGAGCAACATGAGTAGAAGAAAAAGTTATCTTCAAAGACAACAGTTCTAGGCACAATGACTCTGTAACATAAACCAGTCGGCCGAGAGCTTCCTCCATAATGCTGTTATGGACCATTCCAGTTTTGTGGTTGGCTGAACGCTTCCCGGTGGTTCTCAGAAGCAGCAAGCTCTGATCGGCTCCTGAAGACTATCATAGAATCATGGAATGGTTTGGGTTGGAAGGGACCTTAAAGACCATCCAGTTCCAACCCCCCTGCCATGGGTAGGGACACCCTCCACTAGACCAGGTTGCTCAAAGCCTCATCCAGCCTGGCCTTGAAGACAGTCCTTCTCCTCAGGGCTGCTCTCTATCCATTTTCCACCCAGCCTGTACTTGTCTTTGGGATTGCCCCGACCCAGATGCAGGACCTTGCCCTTGGCCTTGTTGAACTCCATGAGGTTGGCAGTGGTCCACCTCTCCAGCCTGTCCAGGTCCCTCTGGATGGCATCCCTTCCCTCCCGCATGTCATCTGCACCACACAGCTTGGTGTTGTCAGCAAACTTGTTGAGGGTGCACTCGATGCCACATCAACACACGCTGAGGCCATAGCATTAGCTGTTCACAGATACTGAATTGCTTAAACTCTCTTCGCGACTCCAACAGCCGATTACGTCTATGCTAGAAGGGAGTTTAGATTGGTACACACATATGTTATCTGGAAAAGTACAGTATGGGTATTTTGAGGAAAAATCTGTTTGAACTTTTCCTACAGATGGGTACTGGTGCACTACTGCACTCTATGTTCTGCTAATCACTCCGTCCCCAAAATTCTGCAGATGAATTTCAAGTATCTCTACAGCAGTCTTGAGGAGAGCGTTCACCCACAAAAGCAAAACACTTAAGACTTCATTTCCACGGATAATTTGCTTTTGGTTTCCCGAGCTGATCATGAAGCATGGTAGCACTCCCTCTTCCCAAATTCTAAATATCAGTAATGAAACAGACACACTTACACGGTGCATACAAGAAATAGCTGCATGTACCAATGTTTTAGGTAAGTAACTTCCTGAAACAGTAACAGCAAACTGCATTTACCAGAGAGATTTCTGTCGTCACCTGGTCTGCTGGTGTTCCTGCACAGGGAATACAAATCCCACAGTTCCCCTGGGTGAAAGAAATGACTGACTTACATGTACTCAAGAAACCCTACATGTCTTGAACATGGAACATGCAAAGACCTTGGAAGGATGCCATTTGGGAGTGCTACAACCAGCCTGGTGGCACAGGGGGACAGCAACACCGGTACACGCACATGCAGTTAAATGGTACCATTTACCAACCCTCAGGCTTCCACGGCTACCCACTGACATGCGCTCATCTTCATCCGAAGCCTAGCAAAAGAAAGTATAAAGACAAGAAAACAATGAAAAGAACACAGAAGACAGGCAGTGAGGTAAATGCAGATGGCTTTGATGGAACAGAAGGAAAGAAAAAACCCAATTTACAGAATAAATGGTTTTGGTTTGGTTTTTTTTTTTTAATAAGAATTGCATTAAACTATAAACAGAAAGTAAATGAAATCATACTCTGCCCAGCATTTTCCTAGAGGATGAATGAAAACCTGGTCATGTTTTCCCTGTTGTAGGCTCTTGGCCCACGTTCCGAATAAAGGAATATTAAACACTCCAAGCAAGTTATTTCCCCACCTTCCACTCCCTGCCCTCCCCCTTTTATTCTAACGCATTTGCAAAAGCTCCTCCGAGTTACTGGGGAGAGGGCAGAGAAGTCAGGAAGTGGCTTTGGGGTTTTCACTTGGCTGGGGCAGGGAGGGGGCAAAGCTTGCTTCGTTTTTTCTTTTAAAAAGGAACTGCCTTACATGTGTCTGTTTTCTTAATTTCAAATGTTTAGCTATAAAGAAAAAGCCAAAGTAGGTACTGACCGAGGCATTTCTTCGGGCTCTACGGGAGTAACGCTCGCTGTCTTCCTAGCAAGGCAGCAGAGAAAAACAAAGAGCCAAGCGTTGAAAGGACAGACAGATACACCATCAGAGCACTTTCAGAAAGACACAGTGAAACTTCAGCGATGGTTACGAGTCCGTAAGGGTAAACCAAATAACAGAACGTGACACCTTGTCAAGTCAGAAAACCCCTTTTCCCCATCATTTGTAACCCCAACTTTCTTCCTCTCCTTTTTCCTCTGCTACATACTTCCACTACTTTTACAGAAAACTGTACACAGTGATCTCTATAGCTGAAAAAAGTGTTTCAAGTGCATCTCTCTCCACCTAGTAATCAGTATACTTACAGGGCTTTTGTAATTAAGCTTTCCAGTTTGCAGTCTTTCCAGACAAATCTCAAAAATCTTCAATTTGAAATTACATGGCAGGGTAATGGTCACTCTAGTGACACTCTAGTCACTCTTCCAGACCAAAAGCATCCATGCCCTGCTTACCGCCTCTGCAACACGGCACTACTGCCTTTTGCGGGCCAAAGGCAGTGCGAATGCTGGAAATGCTGTAGGATGTAGATTGTGCTTCAAACTGATTTACAGAGGGGGAAAAAAAAACCCAAAAACCCAAAAACCCACACCAGACCACAAACCACCACTAAACTGATTTTACATGGAATTTAGAAACAGTGATAGAAAATGGAAAAAAAATAGTTTTAACATTGTAGTTAATGGTTCTGTCAGATGAATGGATTTCTAAGCAAGGTAATTACTAGTGAGGTGGAGCTAAGCTTGCCACACAAGGATTTGAAGAACCTTAATGACTGATCTGTGAGACCAGAGCACCTTGGGTGGATGGTTGGTCCATAAGGCAGCGGGTTTGGAAGACAGCCCAGATCAAACCAGCATTTATACTGATTAATTATCAAGGGTTAAAGAAGTCAGGGACTTTGAAAAGTCACCTTCCACACTGCAAATCAGCTGTTCAGTTTTGCCCTTCTCAGTGCAGACTACTCAGCTTGTAGGGCAAGGCCACAAAAAATAGTTTTCATCCAGCATCGCCAGTAAGTGATTCATAAACTTACAATTGAAAGACATTTGAAGCCAATGTCTCCCAGCCCTTTAGCAACTTCACCTTACATTATGGGTGTTAAAACAGACAGATACTAATGGCCACATCTGTATCTGGTCTCAACTTCAGTGGCTTGGCAAATAGTAAAATCCAGGATGGGCATTATCGGAAAAAGTGAGTGCTGCCATAGTAGCAGTAATAATGCATCCAAGCAGTGTCCCTAGACCAGTCAGTACAAAGCTAACTGAAGCAGCATGGATAAAACTTGCCCAAAATTTAACTAGAGACAGAACTGAGAAGACCCAAATTGTAACAAAATCCTCAAGCAGTAAAATGAGCACGTACATTCCTTGTATCACATGTGGCTGTCACGAGTCTGTATGCTAACCTAACCTTCAAGCGGTAGGGTGGGGACTGAGGTCTGAGAAGAGATGGCTCTAACCAAGCCCTTGCCAGTTTTAAGCTGATCACAAGCCACACGTCAGTTATTGGTGCTGACAGCGAGAATCCTTGTGCTAAGAGTGGAACCCACATTTCCAATACATGAAAATACCTACTTTGTGGGATTTCAAACTCTACAAACTATACAAAACACTTAAAACAACACCACGTTGCTTATCTACGTTGATCAAGGCCTACCATCCATTGCTCGATGTCTCCCCATTTAGTATCCAGACCATAATATTTCTACAGACAGAAAAGGGAAAAAAACAGAGTTTAGATGAGACAGGCAAACAGAGAACATTCAGACATGCATTGCTAAGTTTCGGCTGAGCCGCGCAGCTTCGCACAGACAGACATGCCAGGGAAAAGCCATGCCGAGTGCCGCCCAAGCCCTCCTCCCAGGAGAAGCTGCCTGGCCAAGGGAAAGGGGCATCTGGGGTACGGCTGGGGCACTCGACAGCTTCTTCTTCCTCAACAGTGCAAAAAACCAGTGCTGTGGGGATGGGAGCAAGGAGCATAACGAGTCTTGAATTCCTGACCCATTTAAGTCAAGATTCATTACAAGGGATCCAAAGGCAGAACACTTTCAGGATGAAAAATGCTGTCAAATCATGTTTACCGTACAGATCTGTCAAACCGGGAAGACAAGCTGAACACAGTACAACTAATCTCTGTGCATTCTTATTCCCCGAACTCAGAACTCCCCAGAGCTCCTTTTCAGAGCGCAAGGCTTTTTGCCTAAACTTCAACCATCTCGCTGGCAGTGGTATCACCAACAAGGATAGACGAGGAACCCCTAGGACATGTTTCAGCAAAGCAGGCAAGGCTGGAAAGCTCTGGGCACTTCAGTACCGAGTGCTGTGCGTTTTCCTAGCAGAGCGTCTCTTCCGAACCATTCCTCAGTTTGTATTTTCTTTGCACAACATGGGAAACTTCCCTGACCTGAACTTGCTCTTCCACCAGACAGCAAATTGTTCCAAGATCATCAAGTCTAGCAGCATTTTTCCTCCACCCAAATGTGCGTTTCCAATATAGACCCCAGAAGGTTCCATTTATAACGGGGACCATAACACTCCTGTGCAAATAAAATCACCGGCCTAAAGCACAGTAACTGGCAAATGGAAATCCTGCCTAAGGAACATAGTAGGTATTTTAGAACAACTGAGATTATGTGCTTTGACATTTGTGTATTTGTGGAGAAAACAAGCCTGTACTTGCCAGCTCTTCTAGAGCCTTAAGGTTTTGACTGTTGATACTCCTCAGGTAAATGATCAAACAAACAAACAAACAAAAAATCAGAAACCTGTTCTGTATTGTACTCTGCATTTAGCACTCGCTCAATGGTATTAATGTCATTTTACTTTCACCCTTAAAAAACTCATTTGCTATTTATTAATAAACTAACAGCAACATGTTCTTTGATACTCTCTCAGTTTATGGCCACTTCAGCATTCTTCCTCATTAAACACCAAAGTTATTTTCGTGTTAAGGTCATCGTCTTTTCACTGGAGAGAAGAAAGTCTGTTATGAAGTAGAACAAGGAGTGGGGTGCTCACTTACATATCCGGGATAGCCCAACCTGTACAAGTACCTTTAAATGCTGTCAGTGTTGGGATCAAACTGGGAAAAGGTAGGAGCTTAGCGCAATCCTATCCATTAGGAAAACCAGTAGAAAATAAGTTTTTAGGCCAGTAATTTGAAAGCAGCAAATAAATTCACTGCACTGCTGATTTAAATAGCATGCAAACAGTTCTCAGGAACAAGGAAGAAATGACAGTTCAATAAGCTCTTTAACCACATCCCTATGCGAACAGGGAAGTATTCGCCTCTGCTCTCCCTGCAGAACACCTCAGCGTGTGCTCAGAAACGTCCAATATCCCTATACAATGCCTAGCCAAACTGCAGGCAAGTGAAATTTTTCCTGAATTAGAGTGCATGACATGAACCATTGTTTCCTCAAGCAGCACACGCTTCCTCGGAGTGCTCAGGCTAGATCCTTCCAGGCAGAAGCTTTACACAACAGCCTGTTATAAAATTAAGTTTTAGGGACACTGCATCCTGAAAATGATGCCCGAAAATTATATGAACTCCAAGCTGGTCAGGATTGTGCACAAGATCAGAACCTACAGATCATATGCTTTGTAATAAATCAGGTCAGGCAAAGACTTTTCCCCCCCCCCCCAAGAGATGTATAACATGGTCTAACACTAGAAATCAATTTCAAAAATACGCCATGAAAATGGAGAACCCTTTCTCACATGCAGGAAGGATCCATAAACAAGCTAATAATTAAGAGCTGCTGCTTCCTTTTCCTGCCCTCTGTTCTCCTTACTTTCTAACAGAGGTTTCTGAATTCAGTTTTGCAAAAGGAAGATGAGGAAATACCCCTTAAAAGACTTGTTATGTCACAAGTTAAGATCCACTTACAGTCTTTTCCTATGTAATTCGAAATTACATAGCTACATCCCTAATATCCCCAAAATAAAAGCGTTAATGAATGCAATTGCCTTGAGACTATTTTTAATTTATAGTCTCTTAAAAACAGCACATCTCACACTGGACTGAACCAGCAGCATTTGAAGGATCAGGTATTTTGCCCCCTCAGCCACTTCCCGTTTCTTTCTCTAATGCAACTGTCTGTTCTGCCCCAGGGGCCTGATTTGAATAGCCACGGGGGTTAAAGGAATTGTGCTTATACGTTCATTTGGTCTTTAGTTAGAGGCCTTTGCCAGGCTCAAGTTGCGTTCTACCGTGAAAAGTGATATTACAATTAAATAATTAATGACATTAATACCATTGAGAGAGAATTCCAGATGAGATTTGCTCACTAAGTGATAGTGAAAACGCTAGACTTGCAAACTCACTACGGGATGTTGTGAGGCTAACCCACTTATCTTCTCACCCATGTCAGGGCACCAACAGTAAACAACCTCCTTGTCTCCCACGGGGCTGCGTACGTACCAGAAGATTAAATTGGTTCCTATAAAGGAGTTGGATAACGGGCCTGTTGATCTACAGGCAGACGTTAATTTGAGTCACTCAGTACGTAGTCAACTCCACAAATAAAACCAAGAGTAAGATATATTCGTTGCCAAATTTCATGGGGTCAGGATTAAGCACCAGAGCACATGATTTGAGTCGCTATCTTCACGTGCACTTAAAGAGGAGCACGGCATTCCCAAGAAGCACACGCACTGCCAGGTCAAGCGAGTGAAACATGCAGTTAAGGCCGCCGGGATGCCGGAACAAAGCAAACAGGCTGTGGGTTGTGGGACAAACAGGCTGTGGGCTGTGGGACACAGTTATCATTCAGCAAGCAATAAAAACATCTCAGGAACACAAGAAACATTTAATCAGGTAGAAAATGGCAGGCTTCAAGCATTATATGCTTTCTCCCTTCCCTGCAAGTTCTCGTCAGAGCTATTTCTCTCTCTTGGTACCACACGGTTCACATGCTGGATGTACACAGTGGCCAAACATGGCAACACAAACCCTGCTGTTACACAGCAAACGACCTCAGTCACAGCTATTATCATTATCTTTGCCATCGTTTGGAACTATGAGAAGGAAACTGGGAGGAGGGAAGAGATCGTGACTTCAAACTGAGGCGAGAGAGCATTAAACAACAGAAAAGCATTTACGATGCTCAGGTCCCACTGAAGACAGGCCACAGTTTATTTACCAGAGAATTACAAATTCAAACACAGCATCCCTGACTGATTTCTGTCACTTGCTGCAAACAAAATCATCTGGAAGTCATTCCTCCTGCTGGCACTTGTCAGATGCTTGCCCAGACTGAAATACTTTCAGCAATACACTTGGCCTTCAACTCCCAGGTGGCTGGAGGGTTCCTAGTGACACGCGGAGCCACCACACCCTCCCACGATGTGTGCCAAATTACTCTGGGCTCCTTGCTTGTTCTTTGCCAAATGGTCTGGAGAAAAAAAATTATACGAAGCATCTGACCAGACACATTTTACACGGGTCATCTTCCCTCGCTCCCCTTTATTGTCCACCCCACAAGCCTACGGGAGGGAAGGAGGGAATTGTATGGAAATACAAAGCCTGCCGTGCATCTTCTGTTCGGTGGAGGTTTTTCTGATAGTGCTGGCAAGATGCGTAACGTGGGAACACACACATGCAAACGAGAATGAAAGAGAGCAAAGCCCTACCTTCTGAACTTGATAGATCTAGGGGAAAAGGGAAAGAAACAAGGAAACAAAAGCTAGCATGAATGAATGAATAGCAATGCAGTGTTCCATAGCTCATTCTGAAGGGAAAAAAAAATCATCATTTATACAGAACAGACAGCAAAACACGAATACAACAGAGTGCACATCGAACCCTGTGGAGTTCGGTAGGACGAAGCAGCGTTTGCATACTAGGCCTGCTCCACATGAACAGCTACAATACGGCATTTGGGAGGCACACGAAACAGCTGTTCCCCTAACCCAGCTGTAAGCTAGGACACTCGCCTTCCCGACCACCCTCCTTCAAAGTCACGGATGCCCAAACATTCACCTGGGAGGACAGGTGCGCATCTACCACCACAATAAAGGCAAATGGCATTACCTACAGGAAAGCTGCTGTTCTTTTAAGGACAAGTTTTGTCCCTAAGGACAAAGCACAGTTACGGAAGCATCGATGCCATACACATCTTCCACCCGTGTCCAGCACAGCGTCAGCTCCTTAAAGGACCCTGAAAATTCCTTGCACACGTATTGCCAGCATCAGGGGATCTCCACAGGTTGTTTTGTTCAGTTGTTCATATTTTCAGGGAGCCTTGCACCACTTGCAGGCATTAATAAACGCACTGCTGACACAAAAAGCTTGTGCCGTAGTCTTGGACCATTTCAGTAATGCACAAAAGCATTCCAGCCACGCACACATCTGAATTTTGTTGACGTGAAGAACTTCACAAGGATTTACAAAGCTGATTGGTCAAGAGAAAACAGAAAACATGTTTTTTCTTCCATTTCTCCTAGTATTTCTACAGCAAGAAACCATTGGTTAAACCCACCTAACTGGCTACACAAATCCAGAAGGAAATTGCAGCTCCATTCTCCCTACTAGTCTGCTGAACACCTAGCTTTGGAGCCATAGGAAAAGCATCCCAGCTCTGGCCTCCAAGCCCCAGCTGCTTTGCTGCCTATATTCCTGGGTAAGCACTGATGCTGAATAAATATTACCCCCAGCCCTCTGCTCTACAAGTACAACCTGGGGGGAACCCTACGTTGCCCTGACTCCAGCCCTTCAGCAAGTTTGCAGGCGACAAGGGTGCTCAGGCTCCTGTGTTTTGGAATATTCAGGGGATATTCTGGTCCACGCCTCGGGTGAACCCACATCCCAGCGCTGGGAAGCAATGCATTCTGCTTTCAATCCCTGCCCTCCCAGGCAGGTTCCCCTTCGTGATCAGGAAGGACAACTGCAGAACCCAGCTTAACACCTCCAAAGCGTTAATTCCTATTCCTACAAGTGTACAGGGAATAATCGAGATCCGTGCCTTTCATCCACACACAAAAGCCAACCGCCACTGTTTTGGACGTGGCGATTACTGTGGAGTTGTTTAACCTTTAAGCTTTAACTTTTCCATGCCGTTGTTTCACCCACGCTTCGAGGCAACACCATGGAAGTCTTATTTTCCAAACCCCAATGCTTCAGGCTTGGCAGAGCAGGTATT